CTTTTATTGTAGCTTTCAAATGGTTCTCAATGCGTTCGTCATACAACCTATTGCAGTAAATCAATCTTGAAGAGCTTCGAGAATACACCCTTCAGAACCTTCGCCAGGGTGGGCCAACTAGACATTTTCTAGTCTTAATGAGGTTTTGGTGGATGCATTAATGACAAAATAGCCCTGACCAGGGTTTTATGAATGTTGTTTTATAGTTGCTTTGTAGTATTTCATAAAACTTAAAATGTTTCTTGGGGAACTACCGATGGCGAAGCTACCAGATGGAAGTTGGTAGGTATATTATACGCTACTGAACTTTGAAAATCTTTTTAATTCTTAACAGTAGTGCATTTCCGGTCAATGTTTATTGTTGGTTGTGCACCAATTTACAAAAATCATTCAAAAGCACATCTGTGGTTAAGCATTTGATATGATATCCCTACTTGGGGATTGCAATGTTGAATTCCATTTCGAAAACTAATGGTTAATCACCTTGATAGAGCTTACACGGTAACCAGCGTTAACACATTGAAGTGTAAAATTTAACACATTTCGTGAAAAAACGCTTCTTATATGCCTTAAGACTGCCCAATTTCCCAAGTATTGACAGACGAATGGTGAAGACACAGGCCTAATAATCACAACTTTCATGGTTCGAGCCTAGTCTGCTTCCTTTTTTATTTTTTTGTTTGAACATCATTCTTTCCAACCATCTAGTAATTTCTACCCATCCAAGCGCTTTCTTGCGAGTACTTAAAATTAATGATATGATTTGAGTAGTAGCTATAATGAAGATTCGACAGATTTGTCTTGATTTGTTTTCCGTACTGATTAACAATGCTACCGACGCTAGGGAAGCAGCTCCCACACCCACCCTTCGTGATCAGAGATTTTATACCGCAAAATTCCGGCGGAACTTGGGTATTTTTTTCTTAACGTGTGAGTTAAATTTTACTCAACTGTGAGTTGTTTTTGATAGCCTTGTTACGCCCAATTTACTGTGTACTACCCAAGTAACAATCTAAATGCTTGGAAGATTTATTCTTATTTTATCATTGTTTTATCATAGCATCCCTTGCAGCCTGTGATTGTATTACGGTTTTGTGTGCTTGTCATAAAATCAGGCCGTCAAGTCGTCTATAAAACTGTTTTATGACTACTAAATTAAAACTCAGACTTCATAGTTTTAACGGTAGCTGTAAGGTGGTTCTGCATCACTACTTATAACTGAAGAATAAAACCAAAACAAAACATACAATTATGTTTTATGGTACACTTTTTATGACCGATATAAAACTTGAAGCAATCTTAGACCTTCATTAAAGCTTCATTACAACTATCATCTTTATCAGAGGCCTAAGATTCACAGATAAGAAATATACTGCTACAACAAAAAATACTCTGAAATTTTTTGTCATTATAAAAAACAAATCTATTCAGATATATGAAATGAAAACCCCTTCAGTGCTTCTGAACACGATGAAGATGAGACGATCGACAATATGAAACTCCTGGAGGAACTACAGTTATACGATCCCTACATAAGGCACAGTGCGGTGAAGGAGCTCTTAAAAATATTGAACAAGCGGCTTTCCGATACACTTCTGGAAGATCCACGAACCCTTCTTAAAGCAACGCCGACAGTTTCACTAAATCCGTTTGGAGATGGCCAGTATTGACATCACGGCTTTAAACCTTGTATTGAAAAAGCTTTTAGTGGATCCAATAAGCATTTCTTACATCTTGATTACAAGCGAAAATAGGAGGATCGCTTGGAATGTTGACTTTTTGACAGGTGGTCATGGTTTTTGTTTTGTTTTGATTCGCTGTACCGAATAAAACCAGCAAGCTAGTTATATAGCTTAAATATAACTTAACGCTCTCAATTTGGACTACGAAATGCTAAGATACAACCATTAGGTTTATGTTATGCTATAGAATTACAATCTAGGAGAATATGTTATATTGAGGTATTTTTAAGGAGTAGCAAGTTATAACGAAAAAAAAAAATGTCGCCGTATGAACAAATTTCACACAGTGTGAATAATTACGCTTTAATTGATAGGCAATAAAACACTTTCATACATCTATGTTTAATTAAATAATATGTGACTGGTTATTGCTCAACAGTAGTAACAGTTTTGTACTAAATAGATAATCTTTGAATGACTCTTTAATGCATGGTGCTAATGCAGACAAATTAAAAATATCCCTATATTTTAGTATTCATATGGCGCACTAAATTTATGCTCCTATTTGGTATAATAATCACCATAAATATTGCACGGCATGCTGTTAAGCATATACAGATTGGTTTAAAATTATAATAAAGTCGTCTTATTTTCAATGTACAATAATATCAGCCATTATTACCAACTGACAAGGATCATGATTTCACATCAAACATCGAAAGAATAAAACCACAATAAAATATTTCTCAATATTAACTATCATCCAAAAACCCCAACTTAAAACCTTCAAAGTTGTCAAAATGTTTTGCGTATCATGTTTTATCAACTTCTTCAGGAGCGATTTATGCAGTTGTAATATAGTTTTATGGTAGTCATTAGAAGGCTGTTAAAACTTTCTGACCTGGAGGAGGTTTTATGTTTTCATTTTTAACAATCACGTCTAGAGTGTGATAAAACTGACATAAATCCTATGCTCCTAAAGTAGGTCGCATATCAAGTTTTAATGACTGCATTAAAACTGGGCCAATTGGCCATGACATGGCTGTATTGCGGTTCTCAGGAGATTGTTAAAGCAATGTGGTCGTCAGTGAAGGTTTTATAATTTGGTTATATCAACAGCTATAAAACTTAAATAAAACAAAAATTGTTGCTTGGGTAGTCACCTCTCCCATTACTAGAGCCGCTAGTGTCGGGAAAAATCGTGTCTTGGGGATAAGTGAAACCATATTGTATATTTATTTATGCTACCAAAAACCACACATAGTACCATGTCTCTACCTGTTGGGGACTAAATTTAGGTACCTGGTTAGGTAAGCTTAGTAACCCTAATAGCATGGTCATGACGCTATTCTGCCAGGGCATGAGCCAACGATGCCGGACCTAAACCAACCGTCTCCAACGCTTTACTATGAAGCATAAGATTAGGCCCGCCCACCAACGTCCAGGTAAAAAACTAGCCAAGGGGAGGGAATTATTTTCTATCCTAGAGATCTCAACAATATTCTGTTGTCCCGATATTTAAAAAAAAGCTCGTGAAATACTTTTTTTTTACATGTAAACCCAGGATCTTTTGAAATATTTATTGTTATTTTGTTAGGAGCAAGGTAGCGAAAATTCAGTGTTATTTAGAATTAGACAAGCACATTTTTTTTTCAAATCTTTAATAACATTATCAAACCTGGCAAACTATCATGGACAACCAGGGCAAACGGGAATTTAAATTCTTAAATCCAGTGGCCACCCTGATCTATATATTGTATTTGCATACTGTTGAGTATTTCCACATTTGCACCAACGGGTACAACCACGAATCACTTCGTTCAGGGGTATCACTCGAAAATAATGGGGGAAATCTACGGTTGATTAATGTAGCCCCCTCTAGAACTGTAACTACAATTACTTATTTTGCATACACTTCAAAATTCTAATTGCCTAATTGAGAAGTTCAAAAAATAAATTTAGCCTCCCCATAGGATTTTGCCTTGGTTACGTCAATGACTATATTAAAAACGCGTTCAGGTTAACAACAAAACGAGTTTATTACTCGACGAAAATTGAATGCATTCAAATGTACTCGACGTGATCACTTGACCGATCGGTACCGTCGACGGTTGGGAGCTAACAGGTTCGTTACTCTCCAGTCAGTCCTATCAGTGATGCTGCGAGAGCACAATATCGATACCCAATAAATCGTATGTATCACGTGTGGGTATAAATAGCGTGTAATCTGCATACACTTAGACGGCTGTCGTCACTCAGTTCCAAGCATGCCCAATCATTCACATTCATTTCGTGCATTCATATACATTAATTTGCCTGTAGCTTTGATCAACAAAAGAATTCCGTAAAATGATGTATAGAACTTGTGTAGGTTTTGATTTAAGCTACATGATTTGACAGTAACTCAATTCTATATGTCGTATGCATGATGAGCTAGAGCGAACAGAACCCACGATTATGTTTCAGTGAATGTAAATTGCGTTCATTGAAAAACAATCACAAGTTCTGCCCGCTCTAGTTCGTCATGCATAAGAGACACAGATTTGAGCTATTTACAAAACTTATAGCTTATATCAATACCTACAAAAGCTTCGTACATAATTTTATGAAATTATTTTTTTTTTTTTTTTACGGCTGCTTACTTCCAACCCATTTTCAACTCCTACAGTGACGCGCATAGTTGTTATTCCTATTTTCCTTAACCATTTATGATATTTATGTCAAAAGCAAAAAAAAAAAAATTAAAATTATAAGCGTATCCCTATACTAAGTATATCACATGCTAATACTAACTACCACATTTATCGACTTCATAAAAAATATTAATTGTCTTCGCTCTACTAATACTGTCATTCGAGTCTAAATGACCAAATATAATCAGACTTCTGAATATTTTACTATTATTAATGAAAAACTTGATAAAACTGAATGAATTCTAAAAAAATGTAAGATTTTAAACTCAACTGTTTGACTGGTTGAAACTGGACTGTTTACATCGCTGCCTACGATCATTGTCTATGCAAAATTGATAAAATGGTTAGTATTTTGTTTGAATACATCACACACAAAAATGATTCTTAAGCAGAACTCTTCAACATGTGACAAACGTCTTGCTTTTTGTTCTCTACTTACCGGTCCTTAGCTTATCTGATTACATTCCTTATCGTGTTATCATGCAAATTAGCTCCATGGCATTTATGTGATCTTCAAGTGGGTGTGTGTGCAGGTCGCCATTCAGCCACCAGTGATCTTTATCTGCTGCGCCTGTTGTTGCGTTCGCTCTCACTAGCCGTAATTTCAACTAATAAATTCAATCTGACTGCGCCTTACTGCGGTTCAGTCAGTAGTGATATGATCGCCGTGTCGTGAAGTGCGATAGCGTGTTGACTAATAATGGAGAACTTTGGCTACAAAGAAGGTTCGGCCAAACCCAAGCGCCGGATTGGGACCCGATCGATGAAAGCTCAACAGGTTCCGATAGCAATGAAAAGGTTCGTATGCTGTGGCCGCATGGCATTTCGCTGTACTTAAGATAAGCTTTACATCCATCAGGTTTTCTCTAACTCCGGATGTTACGGTTCACTGGCGAAACGATCCGGAAGCTGTCCTGGCGGAAGACTTTGAATACATGAAAATTGGTCCATCCCCACCGGCAGAAAATGCTCCGAATATGTTTGCCAACTACGAAGAATCAAATGCCGAATTTGGCTTCGAAGTATCAAATGAAACGATTCGAACATCACTGATGGAACAAATGCGATTGTCGTCCGGTAGATTGAAGCTGCTGGACAATATAGAGCAAGGCAATATTATCGCTGCTAATACGAAAGAAATGTTTGAGGGAGCAACAAAGGCTGAAAGGAATATCAGTTTTATGTTTGCAGCGTTCCTCAAACGTTGGGATCTGTTGGAAAGTTTGTTGGAATGTGGAGCAGAGTTGATATTTTTCGACAGCAATGGGTTCAGTGCGCTGCATCTGAGTTCGTTTAGTGGTTGCTTGAACTGCACGAGTTTTCTAGTGTCCAGAGGCATTGAGATCAACATGCAGCCAAGGGCATTTACACCGCTTCACTGTGCGGCATTCGGAAATTCGGTGGAAGTTGCTCGATATTTGATAACGAAGGGAGGAAAGCTGAATATCAACACGAAGAAGCAAAACTGTGAAGAATCATTGCTACATTGTGCCGTCCGTTCCAATGCCATAGATTGTGTGAAGTTGTTCATATCGCAAGGAATGGATGTCAACTCGATTAAGCCGAGTGGCATGAATGCCATTCATCTGGCTGCGGATTTGGGTTATGTTGATTGTTTGAAGGCGTTGTTGGACTTTCCAACGGCTGATCCAAATATTCGGATTGGAATACGTGAAAAGGAATCGACGGCGCTACACTTGGCCGCTGATGAAGGAAACGTTGAATGTGTGAATCTACTGCTGGCCAAAGGAGCCAACGCGAAGCTGAAGAATCACCGTGGTTTTACTCCATTGCATCTTGCTGCCCGAACGTCCAGTTTGGAGTGCGTTGAGCTACTGCTGAGAATAGGCAATGCCGACCCTAATGCGGAAGATTTCGACCAACGTACACCACTCCACGCTGCGATCGGAAAGTCGGATACAGCTTTCGATATAATCGAGACACTGATCTGCTGGGGCGCTGATGTCAACAGTAAAGATGTGTTTGGATTTACGCCACTACATTTGGCTGCACTGGACGGGCTCGCTCATTGCGTTGAAATCCTAATCTATCACGATGCAGATGTTACAACAAAGTCAAAGAAAGGAACGACAGCGTTGAACGTTATCACAAGAAAGACACCTGCGTCGTTAGTCATGATAGGTAGGAAGTTTGATGATGCAATGACGTTGATTACCTCACAGGATCCATCCGACAAAGAAGTTGTGCTGGAGTTGGATTTTAGATATATTCTACAGCATTGTTATCCAAGGGAAATCAGCTACCTAAACACCCTTGTCGATGAAGGGCAGAAGGAAATCCTGCAGCACCCTCTGTGTTCCGCTTTTTTGTATATCAAGTGGGGCAAGATACGCAAATATTACATTGCTAGACTGCTGTTTTGTTTTATCTTCATTCTGTTTCTTACTCTATATGTACTGACGGCTCTGGCTCACAACTGTTACAACGGAAGTAAGGATATGGAGGAAACTATTCAGGAACAAGAACTATGCCAAAAGCAGTCCATTTTGGGAAACATGTTACGCAACAATCCATTCGTAATGGAAATGCAGTGGATGGTATTGGTAGCTATAACGTTTGTGGAAATTTGCCGAAAACTGTATGGAATGACCGGTTATCCATCGATTCGCCGATACATAACTCAAATGGAGAATGTGACCGAATGGTTTATTATAGTCAGCGTTTTCGTTATCTCCTACATCTACACGAAAAGGACATACACATGGCAAAATCATATCGGAGCATTTGCGGTACTGCTGGGATGGACCCACTTGATGGTAATGATTGGACAGTTGCCGGTATTTGGTGCCTATGTTGCCATGTATACAAAGGTTCAAGTTGAATTCGCCAAACTCTTCATAGCTTACTCATGCATGCTGGTTGGATTTACCATCAGTTTTTGTGTGGTTTTCCCATCGTCATCATCTTTTGAAAACCCCTTCATGGGATTTATAACGGTCTTAGTAATGATGGTTGGCGAATTGGATCTGGAGTTGCTGATCAACGACCCCGATGGAAAAGATCCACCATTTATGCTGGAATTGAGTGCCCAAATTACATTCGTGCTGTTTTTGCTATTTGTCACAGTAATTCTGATGAATCTTTTGGTAGGCATAGCCGTGGATGATATTCAAGCCCTGAAGAAAACAGCAACTCTGTCCAAATTGGTTGGTCAAACGAAGCTAATCTCCTACATTGAATCGGCACTATTCAACGGTTGGCTCCCGAATTGGCTGCGAAGCTTGCTGTATCACACGGCTCTAGTTTCGCCTCAAGCGCACCGTGTCATTCTGAGTGTTAAGCCACTGAACCCCGAAGAAAAACGTCTCCCAAGACCGATCATGATGGCTGCTTACGAAGCGGCGATGGCGAAAAACCAAGCATCCGCCCCCATTATCAATCCCGCTGCTTACAAGTATCGATTCCAAAACGGTAACGTACCATCCGGCCAGCAGCCCAACGGAAATCAACCTCTGGAACGTATAATAGAATCGGACTTTGGCTTTGAAACCGCTAGCTTATGTACACTGACAACAAAAATAGATGAAAGCACGGTAAAGCTAGAGGAACTGACCAAAGAGATTTTTGAGCTGAAGGAAGTTTTGAAGAATAATCAAGATTTAGTTGATAAAATCTCCAACATACTTTTGAAGTGAGCATGCCGTACGTCGCACGGCAGCAAAACTATATTCAAAAAATACTAGCATGATACATAAATGGATGACATACTGATGAATAAAGGACGATATTTTAAATGCAGACTTGTGTGGGTGTGTATTCAATCTAACCACTGCAGTGGGTATTATGAAAGAAATCTGCTTGCAATAATCCTTGAGGTTACTATTCAAAGCAGATTTAGTCCTGGAGATAGCTCTACTGCAGATCCAGTAACCCATTTCAGAATACCTGTAATTCACGTCCATTCCGAGGTCACTATCACATACAATAAGCCTCGCATGTAAACTTTACTTACCTTACCTTACCTTACCAATCAGACTAAGGCCTTGTTGTCCTTTGCTGTCCGAAGAAGTCGTCTCCACTCTACTCGATCCATGGCCACACTTCGCCAGCCTCGTAGTCTGCGAAGGGTCCGCAGGTCGCCTTCTAGTTGGTCGATCCACCTTGCCCGCTGCGCTTCTGTTGAGTCGCTTTCTAGAGCCAATTTCACTGGGTCGTCGTGCGGCATTCTTACGATTCCAAGTCCTTGCACATATCGGCTTGCGGCACGTAGCCTTTGCGCGAACTATTTAGCTTCTCGTATAACTTCCGTGTGTCGTTTACGCGGTACATATTTTCCATCGCCTCGCGATCTCGGTCTTCCTGCTGACGCTTCTTCCTTCGGAAAACCGAGTTTTGTCTGTTCCGCGCTTGTCTGTATCGCTCCACATTCAATCTCGTGCGGTGTTGCAACATTGTCGCCCGTGCTGCATTCTTCTCCTCTACTAACAGTTTGCATTCGCCGTCAAACCAGTCATTTCTTCGGTCCGGGATTGCAGAACCTAGTGCCGCTGCAGCAGTACTACCTTTGGTGGAACGGATATCCCTCCAACCATCTTCAAGAGAAGCTGCGCCAAGCTGCTCTTCCGTGGGTAGTGCAACTTCCAGCTGCTGCGCGTAGTCCTGGGCAACTCCGGCGTCTATGTTGCGTAGTTGCTCTATGTTGGGTCGCGGCGTTCGACTTCGACGGGTGTTATGCACCGTCGAGAATTTTGAGCACATGCATACTGCAACTAGGTAGTGGTCCGAATCTATGTTCGCGCTGCGGTACGTGCGGACGTTGATAATGTCGGAGAAGAATTTTCCATCGATTAGGTTTTCTGTGTGTTGGTCAGGTGATCTCTGGTCAGGTGGCTTTGTGGATATCCTTGCGGGAGAAAAAGGTACTTCGAACTACAATTCCTCGAGAAGCTGCAAAGTTCACGCATCGTTGGCCGTTGTCGTTAGATACGGCATGCAGGCTGTTTGGCCCGATTGCCGGTCTATACATTGCATCCCGTCCTACCTGAGCGTTCATGTCACCGATGACGATTTTGACGTCCCGTTACGAACAGTCGTCGTACACCTGCTCCAGCTGCGCATAGAACGCTTCTTTCTCGTCGTCGGGTCTCCCTTCGTATGGGCAGTGCACGTTGATGATGCTGACGTTGAAGAAACGGCCCTTAATCCTCAACTTACACATCCTCGCGTTGATCGGCTGCCAACCAATCACGCGTTGGCGCATCTTACCCAGCACTACAAAGCCGGTTCGTTGGTTGTGCCACAGCTCTGGTAGGAAGTAGCCGCTCGATGCCCACTTTTCCATACCTTTTGTCCCGTCCAGCAAAGTTCCTGCAGTGCTACGACTTCGAAGTTGCGTGGTTAAAGTTCGTCATAGATTAATCTATTGCAGCCCGGGAAGTCGAGTGATTTGAAGTTCCATGTTCCGAGTTTCCAATCGTAGTCCTTATTCGTCGCGTAGGTCTGTGCCAATTGTTCCGATCCGTATTTCTTTCTTCAGTATTTGCAACTTTGTAAACTGTACCATTATCAATTGGGCAAAGGCAATGCCAACACACTTCCTGATTCAAAATCACGATGTTTCCAAATCCTGCATTAGTAATTTAATTAATTAGTTAGTTAATTAGTAGTTAATTGAGTAATTGTGGAACAGCATTTTTGATGAGCTTATAATTAGATTGATCTCACCAAACTTTCCGCCTCCGGTCAATCACTAGCAATTTCTTCAACTGCTTGCAATTATTCATACGTCGGAGCTGCAGTTGGTTAAAACCTCCGAATCTTTAACATGCAGCTGCACCGAAGAATTAATCGCAATAGAAATCGGAGAAGCACTAAAACATAACACTACGCAACCTATCAAACTTCCATTTGAAACGCACACTAAACTCAGTTTTGCCATTTGAAGACGGCCCAAATTTAAAATCAAAATTACGCCGAGTGACAGATACGAGCGAAAAAACTACCGGGAAAAACAACAAATCAAGCATAACTTTTCAAAAGGACGTATGTAACATTTGGTATGAAATTAGAAACATTGGATAGCAATGTCTATATGAGATTATTAAATCCTATTTAAAAGTTAATGCTATTTTTTTAAATCTGCTTGTGCTATTAGTTGGATAAAGAGATTGCGTAAAGATGCGTAAAGATTGCGTATGATGTAAAGCGGCTCGGATATCATCAACCGATTGTCGTAAAGCGTTGTTATTATTCTGACGAGGAGAAGCATCATCGTGAACGTTTAGATCTAGGCTTGGAGGCAATCCTTCTTGCGGAACTGTTTCCACTTCCTCGAAATATCCCACGCTGGGAATATGTGCAGATGAAAACTGTTCTGACTCATCAAGCTGGGTGGCTACATCTAAATTTTTTTTATAATAATTATGTTTTAGTCAAGAATATTTAATAAAACATACCTAGCAGTAGCTGAGTCCCGTTGCAATCCATTTTGTATCTACTTAGAAATAACTTGACGCATCTGCTGATTGATAGTGGTTGCTTTGTTTTTTTCACATACGACGCTTCACTGTGAGCGTATTTGCAGTTTTGGTGTTATCATCAAATTTTAACAGTTAAGTCATGTTGACAATAAAAGGGTGTATCAACACCATTTTAAAAAACAATGAAAGCAGGTAACATAGGGCGTTCATTAAATATATTTTCCATAATGCATTACAATTTCAAACCTTGTTTTTCATCAACTCGTAGGAAAAGCATGTATTTTATATTCGTTTAGATGCAAAATACCGATTTGTTTATTTTTGCGACTTACGTCCTTTTGAAAAGTTATGCTTGAAATGTACCCGCGAGCAAAGCGCACTTCGATCCCAACTTCAATTACAAAAATCGTCCGTCAACATATACTATAGTCGCTATATTTATAGTCTGGCGGATAGAATTTCGATCCATCAAAAACTAGAACCAATTCAATATATTTTAGGCCAATTTTTGAAAAGGTACTATTAACTTTGTAAAAAAATAGTTGATAGTTCTTCCCTCGCCAACCGAGAGCAAATTAACAACATCATGGTAGGGGAAACCTTGGTGTGGTTTGCATAGACGAAGGCGAGCCTTGAGTCACGAGAAAAGGTTTCCGAAGTGTTGTTAGTAAAAGCTGATGGTTCCGCTATTTGACAGCTCAATTGATTCCTGAGATTCTATCCACCTGATAAATAAAGCGACTATATTCCTTACTCCATATTCTGTAGCTCGGTATCTATTTTCTCTTCCTTGATGATTTTCAGGGGGCTCTTAATTTTGGAAGCATTGCTTTAAAACCGTTTCCGTGTTGTTCTATCTTCTCTTTTCGAACACATGAAATTTTACGTTGAGTTGCACATTGAATACGCAGACTAATTTATTGTTATAATTGTTGACTTATTTGAAGGAAATCGGATTTTTTTTTGTAAGGTTCTGTTTCTTAAAACTTCCCAAATTTGATGACACTTTAAACAACAAGCTAAGGAGAGTTGATTGTATCATATCTAAAAGTGATTTCGTAAAAAATGTGAAACTCCAGAGTCAGTTTCTTGTCGTTCAATTGGCTAAATAGTAATCATCAAATTAAACGATATATTAACTACATTTCAATGTGGAACCATAATTTCAACCGCACTAGCATTATTGCACTTGTGATAACCGATCATAAGGGATGGAAATTTTCACTATATGAAAATTCAATCCCCACCACAATAGCCATAAAAAACCGCATGCAGCGTAAAATTCCCACCGAAAAGGGACGTCGATTGCACCCTGCTGCGATTGGTCGATATATAAAAAGTCGTAAAACAGCATGCGATCGCATCACATGTCAGGATTAAAGGCAAACATAAGCGGAAATCCCATAAAAGCGAAATAATTCGGAAACGGAAGGCAGGGATTTCTCATTCGCGAACTTGGATTCTCCTCACCAACTGGATCGAGTTTGAAGTGTGAGCAAGAAGCCATTGTAAAACATTAGAACAATTAACTGACAAGGAAACCACGTTCTTTCATTGTTTGAATTTTTAGCAGGAAAAACAGAACCGCTTGACCGCGGTAAGACAATCAATTAAGGGGTGCAAGTTTGCTCAAGTGATGATATTCCTCCTCAAAGTTAGGTTTTTGCTGCAACAGTTTTTGCCAACGCTGCACTGCTGCCCGTAGGCAGAACAGAAAGGACGGAAAACTTCATCAGTTCATGGAAGAATTAATTTCCATGGTCAACACTTTATCGCTTCCAGCACTGCAGGTGAACGATGCTATTCACGAGGAAAGCAAGCAGTTAAGACCAACAGGGAAGGGTGAACCAAGGTTTTCCTTTGGTATCTGAGTAGGTTGGGGTTCGCTATTATGCTATCAAGTGGCTTTAAAATATTTTAATATTAATTATTTATTTTGCCAATTAACTCTTCTTCAATATCAATGGGTAGGAACGTGGGAGGTTTCTGCCATGATCAGAAAACCCCAGGCTGTTTTACCCAAGGGTGGAATTTAGGAAAAAATCCTTTGGTCGAGCTATGTTCAGTTTTCGTACGTCTCAATTAGAGACCATCGAAAAATTACGTAGCATATTTCTGAACAATTTTAGACCCCCTTCCTCCTTGTAGCGTATTTTGCTATACCTAATATATGGTCGGTCACAACTTCTGAAACATCCCCTTCCCCCTCGAATGCTACGTCATTTCGAATGCTTCGTCATTTCTAGTCATAAAAAACCTGATTGTATCCACTAATGCTGAGATCTGACCCTTCTAACTTGATAAAAATTCGAGCAAATT